GCGAATGGAGTGGCCCACGTGCATGTGCGTGTGTGTATAGTGTGTGTGTGTATGTGTAGTGTGTGTGTATGTGAGTGTTTGTGAGTGTATGTGTATATAAGGTGTGAACAGGTGGGGGGGGGGGGAGCTGGGGGCGAGGAGGGATTTTTTAAAGTGATTTTATAGTTTTTGCTTTAGGGGCGACTAAATGCAAAATAGGTTACTGCCAAAGTTGAACAGTTTTGTTTTCTTGCAGTACCTTTTGAAGGCATTTTCAAATGAAGTAGTCCGGGAACGTTGCCCCAACCACAATTGAAGTAGGCCTATCTGAATATTCAGACATCTGAAAATCTCTAGCTCTAGAAATTGAATTCCATGTAAAAAATGCTTCTCCCGGTTTCCGCAGAAGGGCAGAATAGCAGAATGAAAGATGACGCCTAAATCTTGCAAATAACCAAAAAATCTTGAGAATGGAATCTGGTCTGAGAAATAGTAAATACAGGTCAATTTTATTTTTTAGAGCGTTCGGAGAAATAGTCAATGCGTAAAAATTAGGTGTGTTGTTATTATTGTTAATATTACTCATGAAGTTGAAGTATGATGATGAAGCAAAAAATTACAGAAAATAATAATAATTTGTTACTCCAGTCTCACTCTGGCTCGACCAGTTCTTGGCTCGAAATTTATATCTCAGACCATCAGTCTCAATGGTTCCATTTGCATGACATTCATCAAATTAATCATAGATGAAGGATTTGACATTGATGATTTGACAGTTTACGAGTTTGCAGCCTTTGCCTGCATTAAATCAAGATAGATCTAGATCTAGATCTAAATGAGAACATGATGAAACTGAAACAATTGAAAAATAGACACGATGTAAAACGACGGGCACTTTTAAAGCGTATCAAACATAATTATAATACAGGATCAGCCCCGGGCTGTGTTTAAAGTGAAAGTACAGAAGTCTGAAAGTGGCTCATCATCATGGACAGCAGACAACAGAAGGGAGACGAAGACGGTGTAGACCAGAAGCTAACTATTTCGACTGGTCGATACTGAACTTATAATTATTGCAGTTCAAAGAGAACCTGACATGGGTGGAGAAAAAAACAAGCAAACCTTTTTAATCACAACTCAACACGGCAATGTTTCATCATAGGCCTTGGCTAGTTTCATGTTCATGCGCATGTTGTTCTGTTTACATGTGATATGGTAGTCGCCATTTTGAAAAATATTTTATCCTTTTTCGGAATCGTGCACAGTTGAACCAATCAGATTTGCTTTCGAAATAATCACTTTGGGAATCAAGTTATACGAGTTGAGGATACCGGAAGTTTTGGTTGAGCGCCATTTTCGACTTTGAAATACAAGTGGAAGGCTATCCACGGCCCAGGATTGGGATTTATTCAAAATGCATATAAAATCGATAGTTATCGATGGATTCAAATCATATGCTCAGAGAACTGAAGTAAATGGATTTGACCCCTTATTCAATGCCATCACTGGCCTAAATGGGAGTGGCAAATCCAACATTCTCGATTCGATCTGCTTCCTGCTCGGCATTTCAAATCTTTCTCAGGTTAGTTTAGTCGGAAGGACTTCCGTAACGAGCGACCACCCCATCAAACACAATATAGATCTAGAAGAGGCTTAACCCAAACCCTAACCCTAACCCTACCCCTAGACCTACCCCTACCGGCGCTTTTACGGTAGTTCCCACCCCCCTTATTTGAGCCTGACCTACATCTAGATCTATACGGTACGTTTGATTCGCGGTGAGCTAAGAAGATATCAAACCTTCTAACAACAGCAAAACATTAAATTGTGGTAAAATTCAGGGGGGCATGCCCCCCTGAAACCCCCCTTCCTATTTTTGTTAGGTCAGGGGGGCGAGCCCCTCTGAAACCCCCCTACTCTTGGGTCCAAAACCCGTGAATAACAAACAATTGCGGGGTGGGAACTACCGAAAAAGCGCCCCCCTACCCCTCAATTCTGCTCTGTCTCATAGTGGTCACTCGTTACGGAAGTCCTTCCGTTTAGTCTACCGTTAGTCAAAGTCAAGATAAAAATGTTCTAGATCTAGATTAGATAAATCTAGATAGAAATCTAGATCTAAATCTAAATCTAGAATCTAGATATCTATATAGATATAGATTAGATCTAGATTAGAAATATAGATCTAGATCTAGTCTGCATCTAAAATCTAGATTAGATTCTTGGCCTTATATTACTCAGACTCCTGCCAAGATCTCTTCCAATCCCTTTCTGGCTTTCACAGACTTAGGCCGGTCCCAGAGTGGCTCTGTAGGTCTGACCTGTAGCTCGCCTGGCGCACGCCGTGTGCGTGTCAGCACAGCCGCACTGTGGGTTTGCGCCTGTGTCTCAGCGAGCGCGAGGCACACTCGCTTCGTCTCAGCACAGCCGCACTGTGTGTTGACGTGTGTAGGTGTGCAACTGACGGGTCTGCCTTGCTATAATTTAGGAATTTAGGTGTACTGTGTAATCCAAGACCAATCCAATTAGACGGGACAACTCTTCTTTACATCATGTGCCAAGTGCAGCCCCCCCACCACACGCACAAACACACTTGCAGCTGCGCACGGCGATAGTTTACATTCATAATGCAAGGCCCCTAGCCCTAGTCCTAGGCCTAGACTAGGCCTACGACAGTCGAAACTAGGTCAACTTCTCAATTCGAAGTTTCAAAGTATGATAAAGTGCATTTCTAGGTGATTTTGTGGCCAAGGGTTGATGCTAGCAGATCAATATTTAATAGTTAAGCACCTAATAATACTTACTACTTCTTGTTGATTTTGACGATCTGTGAAGAGTTTCAGTCGAAAATAAACACGAAGCGAGGCGACACATGTCCACCATTTTTACAACACTGTTGAATAGCACGTCTGACGCATCGCGCAGCTCAGCTGACAAAAAACAGACGACACAGCGACGCTGCTTTAAAAGCACACGATAATGTATACATTCATTTGCACGGTGCGAGCCAGGCGAGCTAACACGTCAGACCTACAGAGCCCTCTGGGACTGGCCTTGGGCTAACTCTTGTCCTGCGTCTGCTGACATGCGAACCTTATCAGCAACCGATTACGTCGGACGTTCCAGATAGGCCGCCAGTGTCACTCAGTGTGTACTGGTGGTGTACATCGCGCGCCAGGAAACGTTTGTTTTCGCTATGAATACCGTGGGGAAGTGTGTTAATAATCGATGATGAAAATAACGCTCTATCTATTCTATAATAGCTTTCAAGTGTTACAAACAGATCATGAATAACCCCCACTCATAAGCTGAAGACAGTACGAGTAGATCTAGTTACACCCATTCAAATTACCTTTGTAGACGTTCTTGTTGTTGAATGACCTGAGGTTTGAAAGGGGATAATATAGGAGGAATTTATAGAGTCTAGGTCAATTTTCGAATGTCTTGTTGCACTCAAATTGTTCTTTGTACCTGCACAATGGTATTCAAAATTATGAAACAAAGTTATTTTTTATCGGGTAGAACTAGTATCATTTCATACAAAATCAAGCTCATTTGACTGAAAGATTTTGTATAGAAAAATGGAAGTCTTGTTTCCTGACAATCCTTTCGAGCTCCTCATGTCTAAGTGGGTACCGAAATAGGCTTATCGGGGGACATAAACCCGGTCCCCGCAGGACGAGGGTTAATTTACCCATCCTAAATAAGTCATCATGGCATCATATAGGCCAACTTGGCCTTCTGAGCTACTTTTTAAAGTAGGCCTATAGAATCTAGATCTAGGCTATGCATGAATCACAAAGACAGAAGTGGTGAATGCCAAACAAAACTAGATCTAGATATCTAGATTAGATCTAGGGAAGCTCAGCTGGTCACAGCCACGGCATGCCCTGGTTCACCAGGTCACGGAAGGAGCTCCGCAGACAGGGCTGGCTGACCAACAACACACCCTCCTAATAATGCTAACCCTAATCTTAACGCTAACTCTTGTAGATTCTAGATCTAGTTTACTGGGGGGGGGGGTTATTCATGCACCCGTCTCATGTATGTGTAGGCCTAGAATCTACAGTCAAATCTGTGTAAGACGGAATCGCAAGGGAGCCAGAGGAAAATTCTGTCTTAGACAGGGGAATTTAGGGGAAGATGGAAGGTGGAGGTTCAAAGGCCCAGCCGGTGGGATCAAGGATTGCTTGTCAGATCGGCAAACAGTGGTCAAAACTTCACCCCTCTCAATTTCTATCCTTATCTAATTACCACCAGTGTTGCCTTTCATAGGATCACTGTTTGACCTATTAAAAACAGAAATGTTTGAAACATCTCCTTTGCTTTCACCCTTAGCCCCACCCACCAGTGTAACAAGCAGTTAACCAATGCCACCCCTCACTGCCATCATTCATCATGTAACAACGATTTGAGGAACTGTTTTCTCGGCTGGCAGTACAATCAGGGCGGCAGGCATTGATCAATCTTAATTTCACACCTCTGGCTTATGGCTACCCAGAAAGTTTCCATTATAGTGGCTCACTGCTCGAACACTCACTGGCAGTCGTGAGATTTCACACCCACACCACCCTGACCATCTGCATCGCACTAGGCTCACATGATGAGGTAACGTCTACCCCCAAATTGCACTTTGCTCCCCTTCCTCGCCCAGCAGCATGGCCATGACGATAGTTTAGAGCCGACGGAACCAAACTTGTGAGTTTTGTTTCAAATCAGAGCTGAGCGGGCAAAGAATTTTCTGCTTAGACAGGTGAAACCCTTGGAAGAGAGATTTTTTTTGTTTCCGCGTTGGACAGGTTTTCGTTTTGTACAGATAATGAAAGAGGAGTGCATATCAAGGGGGGAGCAGGGAGATTCCGTAAGGCAGGTTCGACTGTAAATGTTTTATAATTTAAATATAATACTTTTTTCTAGATCTAGATTTCTAGTAGTATTTTTCATGCTGAACACGAATATATATATATGGCCTTCATTTTTCATGCTGAACACGAATATATATATATGGCCTTCATTTTTCATGCTGAACACGAATATATATATATATGGCCTTCATTTTTGCAGCAAATTAATTTATAGCTATTGATGTTTGAAAACGAAACTGGGCTATACAGGGTATGATAAATTGCGTAGTAATATAAATTTGACTTTTTTTTTAACAGACATGGGGAGTTTCAGGGGGGGCATGATCCCCCTAATCAAAGAAAAAATCTGGGGGGTCTCAGGGGGACATGCCCCCCCCTGCATTTCACCATGATTTGATGTTTTGGCAATTAGGATTTATATTTACTTGAAAACAATTGATTTGCATGGGTTTTAGTGGCCATACGTGTGGTTTGCAGCCAAAATTATAGCAGTTTAGCCCTCAAATCAATGTCTGTCACTGTGTGTGGGTGCATTAGTAAAAATTACCAATTTGCTCAGTGGACCTTGTCACGGTAAATGTCGGCCCTCTGTGGAACTCCTCCCCAGGTCACATTTCGATAGAGGCCTTTAAAGTTAATAAAGTTTACTTTTCCCTTTGTAGAGCTCAAAATGGTAACTCCAGTATTCTTCTGTTGAAATGTATTTCCTAATTTACTAGTCCATTGTGAATTCTAAACATCACAGACACTGGCAACTTCAGCTGTTGTATTATTAGTAGACCACACCCCCTACCTTCCTTCCTCCAACTCTTGAATTTGTATGATCCCTATTAATACATACAACATACTGTTTCATCACCAGCCCTTCCATCCATCCATGGTGCCATTTTTTTTTTTTCAAATTCAAAGGAAAACATCATTTTGAAGGCTAGTTTTTGGGGGGAGTTTTGTAAAATCCAAAGACAGGGTTGACTTTAAGTTATTTTTTCACATTTCTAGATCTAAGCCTTTCTTTTCTGGTCAAGAACCATCATGGAAGAATTTTGTTTTATACAGATTGGATTCTGAAATGGGAGCAAGGCTTCTATTTTCAAAAAGTCTACTTATTGTACTTTCTACTTTCTTCACATTTTTATTGTACTCTGTTATTTCCACAGGTTCGAGCTGGCAGTTTGCAGGAGTTGGTCTATAAAAATGGACAGGCTGGAGTTACAAAGGCCACTGTCAGCATTACTTTTGATAATGCGGACAAAAACCAGACTCCTTTGGGTTATGAACAATATGATGAGATTACAGTCACCCGTCAGGTAACTGTCAAATTATGTTGTAAAGTCGTGTTGTTTTTTTTACTTCAGAACAGCCATACATGTGTACTCTCCCCTTTTGTGCTTCATCTTCACATTTATATTTCTAACATGCAAATGAACAAGCAGTCTGCTGGGTTCCTCATGTTTCTCAAACATAATTTCTATAGTCAAAGCTCCCAAATCTGTATTAGTTTATATTTTTAAGGAGTAACATCACCCTAAAACTGTTTATGTCTCTTTTATACTTTTTTATCAGCTCTTCCATCAAGAATGAAGTTGATAACCAGCAGTCATCATTGGTGAACAGTGTCTTTTTCCTTAGTTTAAGTGCTTTGGTTTGATTCAGGGTTCATCATCATCAAAACCAGATGATAATGGCCATGGCATGTTGTGGGTCCTTGTGAGAACAGTTGTCTCAGACTTGTTGTGTAAAGCGCATAGAGCCTGCTGTTGAGCGGGGATATGCGCTATACAAATGCTATCTATTATTATTGTTGAAATTTTAAAATGTCTGCCACAGGACTCTGGAAAGAAGTGTACATTTCCCTGAGAGTTTTAGAACATTTTTTTCAATCAATCTCTTTTGAAATTGTTTAGAAGTGTGTGTGGTTGTAATGTTTTTTGCTCTACATGCCCTGCACTTGCAGCTATTTCTTTATTAGGCTGTTAAATGTATTATTACTTTAATTATAATGGTTACAGTGTATGTGTAGGCCTACTCAAGTGTAGTATCTTTGCAAAAGAGGTGATTGCATATTTTAGCAATTTCTGTATTTCAGGTTGTGATTGGTGGTCGCAACAAATACATGATCAACGGGAGTAATGCCAATAATATGCGTGTTCAGGATTTGTTCCGCTCAGTGCAACTGAATGTGAACAATCCTCACTTCCTCATCATGCAAGGCAGAATAACAAAGGTGTTGAACATGAAGCCACCAGAGGTATTGTGTTTTTTGTTGTTTTGGGGTTTTTTTTAATTACTTTCTCTGCTGTTATTGGTTATGTTACATAGCTATTAATGCCCTTATCAAAGTAGTGTTTTTCCAATAGAATGGCCTTCAGCTTTTCTTTTAGTTGTATTTTAGTGCTACTTATTCTGCCACAAATTTACAAACTTTAATAGTTTTGTGCTTTAATAATATTTTTCTTGTGTGAGTATTCCAAGGGAGAGGAATGAGTATTTAATTACTGTCATACATAGCTTTTTGGTTTTGGCCGGCAATTGTATTTTTAAAACAACAGCAAAACAGAACTGAAAATGGGGGAAATCTTATCAGAAAATTGATAGTAAATTTTAACTATATATCAAGTTCTTAAATGTATGTAATTATATGTATGAGGTTGGGTTTTTTTTTTTAGATTTTTAAATCTAAAGGTTGAAAGGTGCTCTGATGTGGTGTGCTCCTTACTTTTCAGTTATTATCTATCGTCCTATTCTGCCCCTGGGGAAGTGTGACAGTTGTCGATGCTGGCTTACCATTCACTAACATTAACAAACTTTTTCTACAACAATATTTCTCTAAAGATTCTCTCCATGATTGAGGAAGCAGCAGGAACTCGGCTGTATGAAACCAAAAAAGAAGCAGCCCAAAAGACCATTGAGAAGAAGGATGCTAAGCTGAGAGAAATTGACACAGTATGTATATATATTTGTGTATTGATCATGTCACTTCTTACAGTGTGACCATTATTATTGTATCAATTGCCCATAATGTCAGGTATGGTAAGGGGGGGGGGGGCACTGCTTAAAAAATTTTCCTTTTGGTTACTCTATAATTTTTTAATCTTTTCAGCCATGTGTTAATTATGTGAGAAATGAGAAAATTGTTGTGTACCAACTTTGTAACTTATTGCAAACTACATTCAAGTCTGCAGTTTATTCTTGTCGTCGGAGTTGCATTGATGACACCTGATACAGTTCCTCTTATTGTTTACTGTTCAAATGTTGTTTAATCCGGGAAGTTTTGAAACAGAACTGATGGGAATTTATTTTGACTTTTAAGGTTCTCAAGGAAGATATCACACCTACATTGACCAAACTTCGAGATGAGCGCTCTTCATACTTGGAGTACCAGAAAATCATCAGAGAGTTGGAGCACTTGAACAAGCTTTACGTGGCTTATCAGTTTATCAGTGCGGAGGTATGTATGTAGTTCTTTCAACAGCAGATGTCACTCTATAATCTTTATTTTCAAATTCATTTTTTTTTTCTTTTAAGGCTCACACTCGGTACCAATCACTGTCACATCAAAATCGAACGAGTCTGCCAGAATTGCTCTGAAGAGAAAATTCAGGAGTTAATGAAATTATGCCTAGTGGGAGGATTTATTCACAGGCCACATACAGTCCAATGAATATGTCAAACCCCAAGAAGAGCGTTTTATATAAAAACCACAGAATGAAAAGACGAGACTTCAGTTTTCCACCTTTTCACCTGGCGTATACTGGCACCTGTGATATAATGGTTAGGTCTTTTTCCATTGCACACGGAAGACTGACGATAGAGCTCAGTTCCTTGGTAGGGAATTTACTTTGTCAGACATATCCGTCTGTTGACTGGAATGCTGTATCCCGCTTATCCTGGGTTGTCCCAGATGAGCATGGTAAATAATAATAATAGATAGCATTTGTATAGAGCAAATCCCCGCTCAACAGCAAGCTCTATGCGCTTCACAATTTACTATTACCCCAGCAGACCTGAGAACATTCTGAAACAACCTCGGCTTCCTGGGAAGCATACAGTGCAAGCAGGTATTTATAGGCTCTAAAAAACTAACATACTGACAAGATCTTTCGCTGTCTTTGGCCGGGTACCGGTACCCATTCCCACCTGGATGAAGTGAGGAAGATTCCTGTAAAGTGCCTTTCCCAAGGACAATATCGGGCCCGCGGCTCGAACCCCCGAGCCCGCAACCTCAGGATTACGAGTCCGGTAGCCTAACCATCTAATGCAGCTCATCTTTTATATGATTCGACTTGTGTTTATGTAACGGTCCACAACACTTTTAACCTCTTCTTCCTCCCCTCCTCCTCGTAGATAGCTATAGTTTATTTTTATTTTTTTTTATTTTTAGGAAAAGAAAAAGAAATCAGCTGACGAGCTCACAGAGATGCAAGAAGTGATTGTGAAAACAAAAGAACGGATCGAAGAGGTAAAAATATATTTCCGATTTTCTTTTTTAAACTTTTCAATATTCAAATATGATTTATGTCACTAGTGACCAAGCCTGGAGACATAGTGGTGAATATAGTGATACTTGATATATGTAAATATATGCATATATTTATGTGATGATAATTTTAAGGTTGTTCATAATACAAGTAAAGTAAATATCTTACAGTTGATTGTGAAAAACTAGTTAAGAGCAACAGAATTACACAAAATAAGTATTCGGTTTTTGCCCAAAGAAACCTAGTGGCTTTTACTTTGTCCTTAAACTTGAATTGGTTTGAAACTCTCAATTGGTAGAGAAAGAGGGCTGTCAGTCTCAATTTTTGCAACCTCTCTTCAGGTTCTTTCCTGAGGTCTTTCTTAGATTTTCCCCTGCCTGTACAAAGAGTTTTATGTGAAGTAAATTTGACCCCTAAGCATTGACCATGGTTTTATTGAGAGGAATTTGCTGTTGTTTGATATTTTTTCTAACAATACTTTTGCTTCCTCACCAATACCATTTCACAGATAAAAGGAAAGATGGAGGAAATAGAGGTGACCATTGCGGAACTGGAGAAAAAGAGAAATGAGGTACTAAGAAAAGATTATTCACTTTTTCTACAGCGCATCCAGCATTTGGGCAACTCCTCTTAGTTCTATCTATTTTCAGTATAACAAATATGTGACATTCCAAGCAAACTGTAATTGTTCACAGTCTGGTATTCTCCAACAATGGAAACTTTTAACCCTATCTATATGCCCTGGGGTCAATTTGTACCTCCGGGGTTGTATTCTTCACATTTTAGAATACTTCTAGTGCGAAGATCTCTTTGAAACTTTCAGTATTTCTCAAAAAATCATTTTTACAAACTGCTATGCAAAGCGTACGGATCGGATTAGCAAGTAAATTTCCTCTTTGGAAAGTGGTGGCACAGAGTCCCCCACGTCGTATGGATACGATAGTAAAACACAGTGTACGGATAGGGTTAAGACAGCCGTTACTAACAATGAAAATGCTTTCTTAGCTATTCAAGACTTTTTCTAGTCTTGGTGAGTTTCACCATTGGTTTTACACTTTTCCTACTTTGTGGCTCGCGGACGTGGCCTTGTTGAACGGAGAGCCGCAAAATACAGCTTGAATGGCTCGCTATCAATTCCAATCCAGTAATAAAAAGACACTAGATACTCAGCAGATCCATGTTTTTGAAATAATAGAACAGACTTCCTGTTAGCGGATATGAAAGAAAATATAGCTCTGACAGATGGTATTTAGTCATTTCATTTTCTCTGTCCCCTTCGAAACGTAAAAATGAATAGAAAAGTACTCCCCTGACTTCAGTATATGTCTCATGTTTTCACTTCTATGATAGGTACACATACATAACTTTCAGCATTTCTTTGCTTGACTTGAGGCAACGTACCTGGGAAGTTTGAATGATGCTGCTGTTGTACTTTTTTTTTTTTAATGACTTTTCAAAGCTAGAAAATTGTTGATTTTCTACGACACCTTAGGTATTGTATCATCAGTTTTAGAAACCACAAATGAATATAATTTGAGTAAGTCTTCAATACTATACCACCATCTGACAGATTTTTTTTAAACTTCAGTTTGATGGGCCATATATGGTTTGTGTGTTTAGTTGGATGTTTTGACATTTTCCTGTGGTGGGGTAGGGACGTAAAAATAGGTCAGGGAAAAGCCCTGGGCCAGTGGTGGATTTTGGCCTAATAGATAAGGAGTTGACGGATAAAATAAGAAAAGTGAGAATTGCTGATTTTTACGCAATTTAATTTCATGTGTGAATGGGCTTGTTTATAATATCAATTGTCTTCATCAAGAGCTAGTAGGTTATAAATGGAAGTGCTCTATCATGCTTCCTTTGCATTACCTTTGTGCCCTCGTGTCTTTTGATAAATTGCAGAAATGGTGTGTCAATGATAATTTGAAAGTGTTCTGAAAAAATCATATCATCCTTGAGATAACGAAGCAAAGCCCAGCACGTAGTCTGTCCTGACCAAATGGATAACTCGATCGAATGTAGCTGCAGGCTTGTGGATGCTGACCGTTTAACCCAGCCAGAATAACTTTATGACCTTACTTCAGTCAAACTTTCAGGGCTGGAAATACAGAAAGCACAGCATCTTCGTGTCAATTCAATATTATCTTAACAACTTTTGATCCTTTTTTTTTTTTCGCCACATGAATGTTTTTTATTTAAACTTCTTTTGTACAGGTGTGAAACTATGCAATATTTTCCCTTTTCCATCCCGAAGGAATCTGGCAGTGTGATTTCGCAACTGGAAGCTGAGCTAGCTGATAAAAAGTCCGCTGATGTCAAAGTTCAAAGTGCTGTGAACTCAAAGAAGGACAATCTCAAGTCGGAGCAGAAAAGACAGAAAGAGGTCAACAAGAACATCACCGATGTACGTTCTCCTAAATAGGTGTTGAACTTAGAGTGTGTGTAGATAGTGTGGGTTTTTTTTCTTCTTCTTGTATTTGTCGGGGGGGGGGTCTTCTGTCTTAATAAGCATATTTGCAATGATCAAAGCATGGATGAAATATTACATCTTCAGTAATGAATACATCTGTGCTTGCTCCTTGTGTTTCAGAATAAGGCCACAATTACAAATCGTCAGAAGGATCTCAGCAAGATTGAAGCTAATGTTGAGAAGATGAGGGCTGAAAAGGTCGCGGCTGAGGAGGAATATGAAGCTGCGAAAAAACATTTCCAGGCTGTTAGTGCTGGTTTGTCTTCAAATGATGATGGAGAGGCGGCCACGCTGAATGACCAACTGATAAGTAAGGCACCATGTGTATTATATTGCTAAATGGGAATACATTAAAAAAACAATAATAATTTTAGAGCCTTTATTTAACACTTTGCCATCACAAGGTATTGTAAATACCCTGGCCATCAAAGGCAAAGGCGTTTTGGGGGAAATCCAAAGAAACTGGAGGGTAAACATCGCCGATGGGTGAAATGTGACGGGTAAGTGTTAAACCTTTTCAGCTGATGACTCTCAACTCCATCGTAAAGTCTCAAGCGGTCTTGATTGTATTATTTGTTCATTTTATATTTTTTTTAAATTTCAACTTCTTTTACTGCTTGATCTGTGATGTGAAATTCGGTATTTGTGATAATAGATAATGTGTGGCTGTTTGAAATGTTGATTTGTTTCACTTCTTGATAAATTTTTTAACTAGCGTTTGTGTACTTCATTGTAGAAAGTATACGTCTGCTGGGACATTTCAGTGACCCATGCTCAGCACTTTTCAAGGACCCCGGAGCAACTGTTGAGTTCCTGGGTGCTGTCGGCATCACTGACCAATTATGACGCCACAGCGCTATAAGAGAGAGAGATCGCTGAAAATGAAATTAAAACAATTGTTTACTCTTGGGGAGACAGGTTGAATCATGCATTAATTGTGATGGACAAATATTTTTTCTTCAACAGCTGCCAAAAGTGACATCAGCAAGGCTGAGACAGATACCAAGCAAGCTCAAATGAGGTAAGGTTTCTTGTTGATTAACTGCATACATTTAAAGAATGTAAGTTCATCCTGGGCTTGTTCTTAGTTGTTGCTTGGGGGGGTTCCTTCCCCCCCCCATGAACTGTTGATCTTAATCTACTGGAGTGTGGCTGATTCTTTTTTTTAAAGTCACTTCTCTCAACATTTTGAGAATTTTCGTTTTTTGATGTTCAGGGGTTTAGCACAGTTTCCCTGTGGTCATGAAGAGCACTTGCACCTTACAAGACATTTTTATGTTCTATTGATCAAACAGAATTTTGTACGTACTTTCCTCTCTCTGCAAGTTTTATGTGCTATATGTTCAGTTGTAGAGCTGCTTATGTGTAATATGGTTGGCTGGAAACAACAAAGAAATCTAAACTGATTTTGCATTTTGTTTACAAATCTTGCTGTTCCCCATCACTGTTATTGTCTTTTTTCTTTAAACACTGTTGTATCATCATTAGTATCTGATTATAATTTCTTTCAGTTGTTCCGAAATTACTTCAAATTCATGTTTTTAAAGTAAAATAGGCTAGATCAGCATGTATACAGTATTGCTTTGCAAAATGTTTGCCCTGGAACCATAGGTTTTAAAACATGATTCAACTTATAGGAATTTTGGTTGTATTTTTGTTTTTCTTTTCAACAGACTGAAGCATGCACAGCAGGAAATCAAGACAAAAGAATCAGAGTTGAAGAAGACAGACCAAGCTTATAAAAAAGACCATACTGCATTTGATGTCGTGTCAAAAAGCCTTAACAAGCTTGAGGTTGGTCAGACACTTTTGATATGTTAAATTTGTGTTTGGTCTGTCTTATTACCTGAGGACAGTAAACTTAACGTTTTTTTGAAACTCATTGTCTACTTGACAATATGCTAGAATGATGAAGGGGCACCATTGTTGTGTGGGTGAAAAAAATTGTTTTTATCATTGTCTATTGTCTGATATGTAGCACAGCGGATAAAATACCGTCCAGTCCGCTCACTTAGTTTTTCTTCCCTGGTTCCTCCCCGACCATCGTCACCACCTTGCCCGCCCCGCCCGACAGCCCAGCGCGTAGTCATAAATCACTTGTCAGAGGGGTTAATTGGGATGACCGCAGCGCCACTCCTCCTGTGCCGGGGCAGTAGTAAATATGGCGTTTTAGTGTGAATTGACAGCCTCCTAACTCTGAAACTATAAATGCTACAAGGCCGATTGAGATTTCATTGTAACGTGCTATGTTTGATCTGTAAGCCGGTATAACTTGTTTTCTTGCAAGTCCGATTATATCAGTTTTACAAGGGATTTAAGTAAGTCTGTGATTTTCAAACTGGCATCTTCAATGCTCAGAACTTTTTCAGTTTGGATTTAAATATTTCAATCCGGCCCCCAACGATTTAAACAGAAATTCATGTATCAACTGTGGTGACAATTTTCATTTACATGTGCAAGTTTCAAGTGCACTTAATTATTCTATGATTTTCTGTGATTTAAAAAAAAATACCAACCCACCACTCATCCTTGCTGTTTTTAGTTTTCTTGCCTCTACTACATCTGATTTTCATTGTCATTTTTAATAATATTTTTGTCATGGAGTGCCACACTCAACATGATCATATGGTGGGCATTGTGCTCAAACATCATCACCTTCTTGAGGAGGCTGCACATGATATAGATGTACAGCTGGTCCATCAATCTATGGAGAACTGCACTCCTGGAATAGGACAAAATGTGCATATCTACGGCAAAAACTGGAAGAGGGCTGAAAAAAACGAGGGGGACATTCAATTGTTACAGGGCTGTCAGGTTTTGTCAGATAATCCTCGAGAAGCAGAGAGATTTGAGAGGGAGGATTCTAGTGTACATGATCAGCTGTCAGAGTTAGAGTTTGAGGAGCTTATTCCAAGGTCAAGTCCTGCCTGCTCTGAATTTGATAACATCCTCAAACAACACAACATCACACCACAGGCCTAACATAGCCGTTCATTTATAGGAAACCACTGCCATAAATACATCACAGCCCATGTGTACAGACAGCTAGCATCATTTTTAACAAAAAGAACTGTTGCATGTACACGAAATCAAAGCATAATAGACACCGCATTAATTGTTCTGAGAGAGAAATTTGTTCACGTAAAAGACACCTTCAAAGATATCCACACAGTAATTGCACATGGAAAGCCAATCACTTTAGAGAGAATACCACATATTCAGTCATGCATCACAAGATATATGTCTTTATACAGAAACATATTTGGCAAATAAAAGGTCTTGAGTCGATAGTGCCGTAAAACACATGCTACTCAATCAAAATCAATCAAAAGAAAAGGTCATCCCCAAACAACACATCCTTGAGGAACACTGCGTTCCTTGGATACAAAAATATGGGTTTGGAATGGCCTTCCATGGTGAGCAAGGGGGTGATCTCATTCATGCAACCGTGGCCTAACAGACAAAGAAAACCACGTCAAAACAATCATGCAGTCACAACACGTCCAAACCCAACCTAAGCTACTCTGTCGTGTGCACCACCCATCAAAAGACGAAAGCTTACAGCGGAAAAATGAGATAATTCCTCCTGTCCAGTAATATTGTGTTCTTTTTGTATTTGTGAGGCAGCGTGGTGGAATCAGGCTCTCGTCAATTTTTGGGCATGTAGAGTTACAACGGATATAGAAGTAGAAATATAGGACAAAGAAAGGGGTGACCTTAAAAAAGCCCAGTGGAAACATCACAAGACAGTCACTGCAGTGGAACCCACAAGGAGCACGAGGCAGGGGTGGGCCACGGGAAACATGGAGGAGATGCGTGGAAAGGGACATGAGAGAAATGAAGCTCACTTGGAAGGATGGCTCAGGACAGAGATAAATGGAAGGAGCTTGTATGTGGCCTATACCCTGCCAGGGGTGAAAGGCATTGATGATGATGAGAGTTATTGGTATCATCTTAAAGCTTGTTCACTTGCCTTTATTTGGATGGAAATAATATCCATTTATCGTGAATACAAGTCGAGATATTTGCGAACGAAAGAGGTGGGGTCACCTGTTTTCAGAGGTAAAATTAATGAGAAAATGCCCGCCAAAGATTAGTTATTTCCTTAGCTTAAGAGTTCGTGGTAACTGAAAATTTTCTCTTTTTTTGCCTTTAATCAACGTTTTAAGAAAAATCCGCACAGAAATGAGTTCTTTAATGGGCATGAAAGGTGTTGAGCCAAAAAACAAAATTTTTATAAAAATACACAAACCTATGGAAAAATGCAAGTTTCTTCACTTTGATTACTTTGACGAGAGCCTGATTCCACCACGCTGCCTCACATTTTGTGTTTAGGTTGTGTTTTCATAAGTGTATCGGCAAGGAAAGATTTGTTCTGTAGTTACATGTATCATGGATATCGCTATGAAAGATCAAGGTCGCAAAGCGAGAGTATAGCAAAAATCTACTTCAAACCTGAATATTAATTACGGATCCAGAAGCTTCTTGCATATGCCCCTTTGTGAGTACAAATTTCATTATGTTCTCAGTCCTGTGTGCAATTTGATTGAATTCGTTGGGGGCAGTCACATTTAAATTGATGTTTATAATTGATTACCCATGACACATTCATCAAATTAAGTCCCCTTTTTGAGAACTTCACAGCTTTTAAGTGTAATGTACCATGGTCTTCCGATTTCTTCATTTTCTTCCTTAATATGTTTAATATTTACGTGGTCTTTCTTAAAATGTTCATCTTACATTAGTTTTGGCTCACTATGCTGGTAAACTTTGCAAAAAAACAAGAGCGCTGCCGGTGTTGGGCTGATAAGGGAAATCCCCGGCGGCGCAGGTAAATGACCCCGTGACCTGGGGAAGTGCTGGCTTGCTTGCCTCGTGCCAGCCGAAACTAAATGGGCGCTCCAAACCCGCCGTGATAGGCCTACTGATATGCTACAGACAAAAGAACCCTACCATTATTGATGATATCTCATCAACTATTTGTGCTGCAAATATGTGTTGAAGCTGTGGTTGAGTATGTGAGGTTTTAAAGTTGTTACTGCCTGGAGGTAATGAGGCCAGTACAGGTCAGAAAAAAGCCAGTTGCACTGACACGCAAAGAAAGAATCAATGATTCTTACCGTGTTACGTGACCGTGAGCCTACTTTTCAGGTGCTGAATATGTTGCCTTTGTCCTGTGACATATGGGCCAGGGTTCAAACGGATCTTGGAAAATTTTTGGAATTTTGTTTTTATATTCCAAGATAGGGAAAACTTGGAATTTTGGGAAATTGGCAAAATTTTTGGAAAAAATTTTAAACTAGATCTGTTATAAAAATATATCCTCGAAGTTTGGAAGGTCTCAACTTTACGCATTCTGAAGTGTACCGTAATGTATTTTTCCCTGCTGAACGAAAATTTTCTTCCGAAATGACACGTTATTTGTCTTGGGGAAAAAAAATCTGGTCTTGAAAACTCTTGGAAAAGTCTTGGGGAAAAAATCTCCTGCTCAGTATGAACCCTGATTGGCGGTTGATTGGAGATCACCACCAGCAGCTCCTTTTCTATCCCGCCCTCTGTATTGCTGCCTGTTTGTCTCTTGTTTTCCCTGCACTAGATGGCAGTTATTGTGTCAATGTGATTTTTTCCCCTTAAATTTACGTTGGCGGGTGCTCTGGTGTGGTTTGCTCCTTCTTTCCTATCAAACATCTATCGTCCTTATCTCTCCTCTTTCTTTTTTGTGTGTCTTACTCTCATGTAACACATCTATTCTTCAGCTTTTATATGACCATACTGTGTTGCAAGTACCGTAAAACTTACGAAACTTAAAACTATTATGACTTAGCATGAAGAGCTCATGTCAATTTCTTTTTTGTTCATTTACCCGCAGGCTGATATGAAAAAACTTGGATATCAAGAAGGTACCGAAGAGAAAATGGCTGCAGACAGAAGGACTTTGGTGAAGGAAGTTCAGGATCACAAAGGGAAACTCCTTACTATGGAGGCAAGGTAATGTCGACTTGACTTGCACTATTTCTTATGAAGTTTATTTACTAAAGCTATTTCTTACTAAGTTTATTTACTCTAACTATTTCTTACAAAGTTCGTTTACAAGAGTTTGTGGATAAAGGTTGGGCTCCTCACAGCAACATAAGACAAGAAGTGAATTCATCAGTTCCCATGTGTGTCGGGATTTTCAAAAACCAATCTGTGTCCATTCTCTGAGCCTTTGTTTTCCTTTCAACCCAGGTTGGCCCTGAGAGCCGAAGAAAGTTTCTCACCTCCCAAATGATCTAAATTGTGTCGATGAGGAGCCAAAATATTTCCAATTACATTGTTACACTGCTTATTTTATGCATGGAGTTGATTCTGTTGAAGTGGTAGAGTCCTTTGCAATTTGTGTTGTCACTCATCCTTTCGAAGCGCTAAGTGGGAGTATCTATTACAAGGATTTTTGTCGAAAAAAGGGATGTGGTCATATTTTGAACATTTCCAAACTTCATTGTCTCTGTTAAGTTTGTAAAATACTGTGTGAAATAAAGAATTCCCATGTTAATGAAAGCAAATGTGTTGTTAAACAAATAATTAAAAGAGAGAAAGGATATTTCCTGGATAATGCTAATTTTAGGAGGAATTTGTGGATGACAACTTCTCATTTTTTTGTTTTGTTTATGGGTGTTTTAGTGGGTGGTTGGCGGGTGCTCTGGTGTGGTTTGCTCCTTCTTTCCTATCAAACATCTGTTGTCCTTTTCTCTCCTTCTTTTTTGTGTTTATTACTCTCTTGTAACAACTGTAATCCTCTGCACTTATATGACTTAATTGTGTTGCGAGTGTCATAAAAAGCTAAATAAAACATAATAAAACAGGTTGTTATTACTCTCATTAGGAATTACCGAAACAGTGACCGAACTCTTTCTCCAGGTACCCCAATCTCAAATTTGAGTACAAAGACCCGGAGAAGAATTTTGACAGAAGCAAAGTGTCTGGTCTAGTTTGCAAGCTTTTCTCGGTCAATGACTCTAAGCACTCTTCTGCTCTTGAAGTGACTGCCGGAGGAAAGGTTGGTGTGTTTTTTCATTGATTAGAATAACCTAGAATCAATAGGAATGACACACGGCTAACTATCGAAATGCTAAGTACTGCTTTGTATAGCGTCTTGAAAATTTAGCTACGAAAATGCATTTACACATTCTTTGAATGGTACATTTTACTGTTATTGCAACGAGTTGATTTAGTTTTTAAAGTTGCATAAAGTATGAAGTCACCCTTTGTTTGCAATTAATTCCTTTTTAAGTTTAAATTTTATTTATAATCTTGAGTCTTGAGAAGTGATTTTTAAAATCCATTAGTCATTTTCCTATACGACTGGCCTCAGTACTGTAATGTCAATTTGCTATAATGGTTTCCAGTCGCCATTTTTAAAATCTTGATGAACTAACACGCACCCACACACACACAGTTCCCCAACAGAATCCTTGATTTTATAAATGGCCTTTACAGACAAATTTTTAAACATTTATATATTTTGATTTTAAAACAGATTACCATTTTTAGATTGTTATTTTACGTCAAATTTTTAACATTTTTAAATCTGATCGTTGACTTGAGCCAAGCAATGCAGTGAACTGTCATTAGTGAGACCAACTTGTGTTTTGCGTGCTCATATGACCGCAGGCAGTTGCAAGCACCATAAAACTCTTACTAAAACTTTAGAAAACACACCCAGATCCTGCTTTTACAATACACTTGGGTTTTTCTTTTTTTTTTCCACTTTTCAGCTGTACAATGTGGTGGTAGATTCGGAGATTACTGGAAAGAAACTCCTGAAGTTTGGCGAGCTGAAGCGCAGATGCACCATCTTACCTCTGAACAAAATTGCTGGCAGATCTATTGATGATGCAACCTTGAAAAGAGCTGAGTCACTTGTAAGATTTGAGTTTGGTTGGATTTTTTATATTTTAAGGCAGTTTTTTAGACTGGTCTTGAAACTATGCTCTGATGGAATGTTGCTCATTGAAAAGTATGTTTGCTTCAAGCGACAAAAAAAAAAAAAAATAGTCACTGTGTTAATCGTTTCATTTGACTTTTGAAAATTATATACTTTTGCTTCAGGAATGTGGAAAATGAAAAGCCATACCTCTCTCTCTCTCTCTCTCTATCCATCTCTCTTTCCCTCCCTCTCCTTTTCTCTATCTCAACCGTTTTTGCTGTTTTAAAAAAGTGACATAATATTGGAATAAATGTTCAATGTCGATTTTTTTTAAACAGTTAAATGTGCTGCTGTTCAGGAACAAGATCCCTTCATTTGCTATGAATAGTTTTAAAAATTTCTTTTCTTTTTAAAAATTCTTTACTTGGCTTCTATGTCCCTGAGATATTTCTGTAATCTTTCCAGGTGGGCAAGGGTAACGTTCACACTGCCCTGTCATTGGTCACTTACGACAAGAAGTTCCATCCCATCATGCAGTTTGTATTTGGATCCGTCTTTGTGTGTTCTGATTTAGACACCGCCAGCAAAGTGGCCTATGACGCTAAGATCATGAGAAAATGTGTTACCTTGGAGGGGGACACTGTGGATCCTGCAGGAACACTATCTGGAGGTATGACTCTCTCTCTCTCTCTCTCTCTCTCTCTCTCTCTCT